TGTATACTACCCGCATCCCTTGATGCAAGATCTACTATGGGATAGCCTATATATCTGCACTGAGCCGCTTCTTACTCGTTGGCCATTCAACAAGCTGGTTAGGGAGAAGGCTCTTCAAGTCACCATGAAGCATATCCATTACGAAGATGACAACAGTCGATACATTACCATTGGTTGTGTTGAAAAGGTAAAGCAATATGCGGTACTCCAAGGTTACAAAATCATATTAATTGAGATTTAGTTTGACGATATTGGAAATGTATCAGGTACTCTGTATGCTAGCTTGTTGGGTGGAAGATCCTGATGGGGATTACTTCAAAAAGCATTTGGCAAGGATCCCCGATTACATATGGGTTGCTGAAGACGGTATGAAGATGCAGAGTTTTGGTAGTCAAGAGTGGGATACGGGTTTTGCCATCCAAGCTTTGCTTGCGGCTGATATGGCAGATGAAATTGGACCTGTATTAGCCAGAGGACATGACTTCATTAAAAAGTCTCAGGTTAAGGACAACCCCTCTGGTAACTTCAGGACCATGCATCGACATATTTCGAAAGGATCTTGGACTTTCTCTGATCAAGATCATGGATGGCAAGTTTCTGATTGTACTGCAGAAGCTCTGAAGGTACATGCATTGCGCATATAAAAACTAATAAATTCAGCTTAAATGTAGAATCTGCATTACAAACATCTTATATATGTTGATTAATCTTCAATTGCATGCTCCCAGTGTTGCCTTCTTTTCTCACTGATGCGCCCAGAGATTGTAGGCGACAAAATGGAAGCTCAGAGGTTATACGATTCCGTGAATGTCTTACTTTCTTTACAGGTTAGAAGAAAGGTTAAATTATAGAAAATGTTTCAAGATAACTCTCAAAACATTCAATAATATCATCACATTTTCAAAATAGTTTAAAATAATATTCTATTTTGTTTAAAAAATATCCTCTTCTTCTATACTCTCCTAGTCTCCTTCTATTCCACAATGTCCTCCTTCAATTAAGGTTAAAAATGAAAAAAAGAAAAAAAAAATGATCTCTCCGCCTATGCGTGTTTAATTTAAATTAAATATGATCTCTCTCCACGAAACAAAATCAATACTATGTATCCGTTACACGTGCAGAGTAAGAATGGAGGTTTGGCAGCCTGGGAACCTGCAACCGGTCAAAAATGGCTAGAAGTGAGTTATTAAGTAATTTTGTTTGAATGCGATGAATGAATGAATAATGTGAAGACAAGGAAATATATGATCTGAAATTAATAGAATGATGTACGGTGCGGTGGCAGATGCTGAATCCGACGGAGTTCTTTGCAGACATAGTGATTGAGCACGAGTATGTAGAGTGCACAGCATCGGCAATCCAGGCTCTGATATTGTTCAAGAAGCTACACCCAGGGCACCGGACGAAGGAGATTGACAACTTCATTCAAAACGCTGTACGCTACCTTCATGATATACAAATGCCCGATGGCTCTTGGTACGGTAACTGGGGAGTTTGCTTTACGTATGGTTGCTGGTTCGCACTCGGCGGTCTGGTGGCTGCCGCCAAAACTTTTAACAACTGCGCAGCCATTCGCAAAAGCGTACATTTCCTTTTGAATATTCAGATGCCAGATGGTGGTTGGGGAGAGAGCTACCTCTGCTGCCCGAGTAAGGTAATTTCGATTTTATTCTCCATCCACTTGAACTGTTTATTTAATAGCTTTATACCATTTTCATTTGCGCTCACTGGTGGGTGTGGGTGCGGCTGCATTACTAGAAATATGTGCCCCTTGAAGGAAAGCGCTCCAATTTGGTTCATACAGCGTGGGCTATGATGGCCCTCATTCATTCTGGACAGGTTTGTAGGCTTGAATCTTTTTAAGATGTTTAATTTAAGTAGCATTTATGTCCAGTTGTGGAAATTTGAAATAAATGATGGTTCCTTTCCCAAATATACACTGAACAGGCGGAAAGGGACCCTACACCTCTTCACCGTGCAGCTAAGCTGTTAATAAACTCGCAAACCGAAGACGGAGATTTTCCTCAACAGGAAATAACTGGTGTTTTCATGAAGAACTGTATGTTACATTATGCAGCTTACAGAAACATATATCCGCTATGGGCTTTGGCTGAATACAGCAAACGAGTCAAATTGGCTTCTACTTCCCCTTAGTTTTATAAATATGCTCTTTTCTTCTTGTACCCTTTCGGATTTTGATAAATATTATTTAGCACGTGCCTCCAGTAATTCCTATATATTTCTTCCACCGCTGGAACCGTTGAGTTGAATAAGTTTAAATTATCTGTCCCCAAAAAAGTTAGGAATGAACACGGTTAAATTAAATCAAATTATAGGTACAATAATGAATTAATAAAAGCCAACAAAATAGTAATAATAAAAAATTAAGAATTTGTGGAGGAAGATTGGACTTAAGTAGAGAATTGGTGTGCAGAGAAGAAAAAGAAAGAGTATGAATGTCAAGGGTTCTTGATCTTGATCCTTAATTTGCGAGCAATTTGTAAGGCTCTGGGATGGAGCACCCCCCTGTTGTTATTGTTGTTGCACTGTTCTACCTCGACCCAGTTGATGAGCTTGAGTAATACAGACTGAGGAACTTTCCTCACATCCTCGTCCCCCGCTCCCTTGCTCTTCTTCATGCCCGCTTCCAATGCTTTCTCTATGAACTCCATAAACCACTTTCCAGCTTCCCTTTCAATCTCCTTTCCCAGTTTGATTGTGTCGCTCAAGCTACTGCTGCTGGACCGTGATGGCATTGCCATTGCCATTGCCATAGGTGGCTTCTGATTTTCATCATTCTCCCCAACAGATGTTGATGTTGATGATGATGATGATGATGCTTTCTGCTCCCTCGGCATCACGACTTTCCCAAAGTTAGTCTTTATCCTCTGCTCGCTTCTCTCCGGACAAGCACAAGTCGCCACTGACTTGTACAACCCACACCTTTTTTTGGATAAACTTGATTCAGGATTGCTGGAGTTGGGTGTGATCTCACTTAGTATGGAGGAGGAGGAAGATTCTTGTTCCTGCTGCTGTTGTTGCTTTATGAAATTCTGGTTCTGAGCCAGTTCAGTAGCGGCTTGAACCGACACCATATCACTCACTGCCTGCATGATTTGCTGGTGGAATTCAAGGAACTTGTCGAAACAGTTGGCAGGAGCGTCGGCTCTAGCTGATTTACTCAACCTAGAAAGCATCCTACATACATACAACAAAATATCCATCTTATCTTAGAGCAAGTCAGTGATGAGAGTGGGTGAAAGTGCGAGTGGGTGTACCTGAGGGATCTAACTAAAGCGTCCGTGGCAGTAGCCCCTCTCAAGGATTGGAGGGCAATCTTCTGCGCTGTATCTCTCTGCTGCACAGCTTCCTGATAAACGTTGTTTGTTATCATAAGATGATGCATTATTAGGATTTAGGAGCACCGTCAACCAACTCGAATTCAGAAGGAATTAATTTTCGTTCATTCACCTTGCCTAATATGCTGAGTTTTCCTGGTAAGTTAATGGGAAGAATGGTACCGCTATCATCAGAGTCTGAAGGGCCATACTGAGAACTATTCAGCATGGGGGAGGCATCAATCCTGGAGGTCCTTTGATTCCGCAGACTTGGAGGTGGAGTGGTGCTCTTCTTTGCTGCAACAACAAGCCAGCCAAAGAAAGTGATGAGATGAAAATGAAGATAGATAATATGTTTGAGAGGCCCACAGATAACACTCAACAGACAACAGCAGCGCTTGAAAGTTTTAACATTTTGTATACCTACAGCTGAGTTGAAGGAAGCTGGTGATGAAATCCTTGGATCTCGCTCGCACACGCTCTTGCTTCTAGGGAATTTGGAAATGGATGCACAGCTTTTCCTAAGAATTGAAGGAGCAGGGCTTTCAATTTTAGCCAACAGCCCACCACCAAAGGAAGACCGGATTCCGCTTTTTCCCTTAACCATGGGAGACATGATTCGCTCCTTCACGGGCGTACACTGGTCAAAGTCCAGGGGAACGGGCTTCAGAATCATGGGTGAAGAATACCCATCTCCATGGATCATCCCTGTTCCCCAAGAACCCCGCCTCGGAACCGACCCCTTTGCCTTGGACTTTTCATCACATTTCTCCCCTTTCTCTCTCAAACCCATCAGAGGTTCTGGTGTTCCCACCAGAGGGTGTCGCCCAGGGAGTGGCTTTGCGCCTTTCACCACTGGGACGGGGGACCCAGGTTCCAATTTATCCACGTATATAAACTGACCTAGCTGCATTTTGTTGCTCAAAACGAAATCACCTTGATCCGAAGGCAGACTCACGTAGATCGAGTGCGAAGAATCCGACACCTTGATATAGAATCCATGCTTTGGCCACAGGTTTTTCTCGTCCAGATCTGCAGGCACAATGTCCGTAACCTGTAACAGGGAGCTGCGGTGATCGCTCGTGGGTTTCACCCCCGAACTCATTCCATCTAGAAGCTTTACCAGAACTCCTGGTGCCAGAGTCGCCATTAAAAGAACTTCAAAGAAATAAGGAACGACTCAATGTTCCAGATTCTTTTACTTCAAATCCCAATTACAAATCAATATTTTCGACTTCTCTCACTTTCTTTCATGGACGAGAATGATGCACGGAAGGCCATACAGGAAAAAGCCCAACTTTTTTGAATTTCGGACTTTGTAACGTTACACAACGGTCAAAAGGGGACCCATCTACCTCGTTATAAATTTATAATTTCGAAATAATTCTCAACACCGTTTTGTTTTTATTATATAATTTTGTTTCAAATTATAAAAATTTTAGGTTAAATTAATAAAAATATTTTCAAAAGGTTTCAATAATACTCAACCAATCTAAAAAATATCTTTTAACTAAAAAAAATTTAAAGCATTCAAAAAGATTATAGGATGTTTTTATCTACCAACAAAGGCCATTATAATGTAGCATCCTTTTAATAACCATCAAAGGTAGATATAAAAATATATTAGCCCTTAATAACTATGGAATACAAAAGTACCATTTTTCTCACATCTAACGGTGCAAAATTGTTAGATGTATTGTGACCTCAACCAAGAATTTCTCTTGTTTTGGACTCAAAGTAGCAGCCCATAAAGTGCGAAATGGATAGATTTAGAGAGAGAGAGTCACAACAAGCGTGTGAGCTGTCTCATGGAATGTCCCTCGCAACACAACAAAGCAATGGAAGCACATAGATATGGGCACAGGACCATTCTTTCACAGTTAACAGTACCATTCTTTGGCGAAACCTAAAACAACTTAGAAACAGAAAATAATATCCTCTTTTTTTTTTTCTTTCTTTTTTTCCCTCTCTATTTCCAATCATATTCAAAAGCAATTAAACATTAAACATTAAAAACATGTTCTGATGACGTGGAGGTGGCGGCTAAACATTTTTTAGACGACACCCATACCCTCCCCCCTTGCGGCGACAGATCAGTCGGCCACAGTCCACGTCATGTCGTTCTCGAAGATCCAGTGGCACACCTCCACCCGACCGGGGGCGGACCCGAGAGCTATGAACGCCCCGTGACTGGGACTCCAGGCTGAGGTGTCCAAGTGACAGATGGCAACTCCGTGGTTTATGTTGGCCTTAGACCTTGGATCCAGCAATTCCGCTTCGTACACTCGAACCTTGGGCACGGAGTGGCAGTAGTAGAGTAGGTAAGGGAATAGGCTCTGGTGGCAAGACACCGACTTCGTCACCTTCCCTCCCTCCACCGCTTTCACCGCCCCTATCATTATGTTCCCCTTCGACCCCTTCGTGTTCTCCGTCGTCCGGACCACCACGTTCCGCCCCAGCACCGACGTGGCGAAGTCTATCATATCCTCCACCGACCCCACGCACCGCTTTGTCTCCCCGGCACTCGGCGCCCTCTCGCACTCCCCGAGCGTCTCCATCATCATAGTCTCCATCGACGAGTTATCCTCGGCGTGGAATATCTTCTTCATCACTCCCAGTTTCGAACTCGAAAAGGGCAACTTGGATAGAATAGATCGGGGCAGGAACGACCTCTTCGGCATTTTATCCTTGATGTCCGGCATAGCCATCACCGTCCCCTTCCTCAGCATTGACTCGCGGAAGAACTTCCCGGGCTCTACCCACCTCTGCGCCAAACTCCCGTTCACCGACATTTTCGCACCACCGGAGCTCACATTGCTGTACTGGGCAAAACTAATCCCCCGTTTCGCGTAATCTTTGAACGTTGTATTCACCCCATAGATCTTGAATCCCACGCTTTGCGCATTCCCATTCTGTCCATATCCACTAAACTTGTCCGAACCCACATTGGCGGATTTCCCATAATTTGCGAAATTGACCTTCGCCGAGTTCGAGTTCTTGGAGTAGGACTGAAATGAATCGTCCCCCACATTCGCCTGGTCTCTGTAACTAGAGAAGCTTTCAATCGCTCCGTTCCCACCCTCCCCATAGCTCCTGAAGTTGTTCTGTGGGTCGTTTTGCTCGTTGCCGTAATTGGTGAATGTGTCGTTAGCGCCATTTCCGTCGGACCCATAGCTTGAAAACCCAGAGCCTATTACGTTTGCGTTGGTCCCGTAGGCCGAGAACTCGTTGGGACCCCCATTTCCTCGTTTTCCATAGTTGGCAAACGACTGATCTCCTGCGTTTGCGTTCTCGCTGTAGCTCTTAAAGACTTGAGATCGTCCAGTGGCATCGGTGGAGTAGCTGGTAAATCGGAGATTGGGGACATTGGTGGATTGTTCGTAGGTTGTGAACTTGCCGTTACCTCCTATGGCTTTGGAGGCGTAAGTGTTAAAACCCTGGTCGGGGACGTTGGTGTCGATGCCATAGGTCGAAAATCGGTCGGCGTGGCTCAAGGCGCCGTGGCTGTAGCGCCGGAAGGAATCGACGAAGATATTTTCATCATTGGAATAGTTCTTGAAGGAGTCGATGCCACCAGCTCTTTTGGAGCCGTAAGTGGTGAAGTTCCTATTGGAATAGACAGCAAAGTTGGAGTCCTTGTTGTGCTTGGCCAAAGAAGGGGCTAAATCGGGGAAGCAGAGCAGATTTGCGGCGGAGCAGAACTGAGGGAGGCGGGAGGAGAGTGTGTTTTGGGCTGCGAGTTTGGCGAAGGCCGCGGACTGCACTGCCGTCAAGGGAGACGCCTTGGAGAAGAGAAAAGTGGGTTTTGGCAAATCATTCCAGACCTCCTTGTTCCAATAACGACTCAGAAAAGCTTTTGGGGTAAAGGGGTTGTCCTCGTCGCCAGCCGCGGGAACCTGTTTCCGCACACCCACGTAAACCACACACAAATTACAATTTACAATTTACAATTTACAATACAATTCCACACACAAATTACAATTCCACGCATAAATTACAATTACAGGGGATAAAAACTGAAGAAAAGAGAAATAAAGAGTGAAGTGGAGATGGAAATTGACTTACATTGAAAGCCGAAAGCAAGAAGATAGAGAGATAGAGAGGAACCAGAAGGGGCGCGGGTAATCTGTGCATTTCTGTTTTGGGTTTTGTTTGTTGGGTTGGGTTGGGTTGTATGCAGAAATTTATAGTGGTTTCACGCTGCCAAAAAGTTCAATTTTATCACTGCCTTTCTTTTATTTTTTGGATTTATGTTGAGATTCTATGGCCTTTTTCCGAATTTCAACCAAACCTAGACGCGTTTACAAGTGCTTTTTAGAGCTGCAATACCAATTCTTTAATGTATTTGATTCTAACTTTGGGTGGATCCTCATTTTATTATTTAAATGCGCAACCATTAATGGTTCATTCTCTTAACTTATACACGGACCTAATATTGGTCCCCCGAGAGTTGAGAAAATCGTGGCATGAGAGAACATTTAAGGATGACACGGAGTAAGAAGTAACTGTGCGAGAGGGAATTTAAGTTAGGACCCAAGAGGAAGGGAGGGAGGAAAAAATGATGCATAGATTACTTGGAAGAAAAAGAGAAACACAGAGGAAGATAAAGGCGATAGTGGAGTACAGACAAGGGGTAGTTTCAGAAGCCGCGTTTTAAAGCGCACGTGTCGGGCTTTGATCGGTTACACACCGCTTTCGAAGTTGGGATTATTATTAGTTTTGTTTTTCGTTAAGAAAAAGAGGAATGAATAGAAATGAAAGTATGATCTGCATTGTGTTGGACACCACAGCGACAAAGCTCCTGCTAGTCCTCTTGGTTAACTCCTTGCAATTCTCCCCTTTTTGTATCGTCAACAATCATGGAATATCTTAATTCCGGAACCAAGCTAATTTGTATTAGTATTTTGTGCAAGTGTATGTATCCAATGATTCAAATTCGCGGGCATCGTTATTTGCTACCCACTTTTTTCCTTCTTTTCTTTTTCCTTTTTTCCTTTTTTCCTTTTTTCCTTTTCTCTTTTATTATTTAAAAAAGAAAAAAGAAAGTCTTAATTTCATTGTTTAACTGGTACAAACTGGCAGGCCCGTAATTTTATTTTTTCCTTTTACTTCATTTCAATTCAGATTATGTACCACAGGTTTTAAGAAAATAATAACGCTGGAAAAATGCATGTGGAGTCATTGTCGACAAATGTACTATTTTTGCCATTTCCCATTTTAAAACTGTTGGTTCCATGTAATTGGGATTTAATTTGGAAATGGAATTATGGGTCGCAGTCAACTTGTTTAAGTCAACGTCAAGAACAAGGGATTGGGATAAGGAATAAGGCAAGTAAATTAAAGAAGGAAAATGATTTAATGCTGATGCCATCATTTCTCCTCTTTCTAAAAAGAATTAATGAGAGAAGAAAGGGTGTGGGCGTGGGTTGGGGAATTCATGAGGAAGCGCCTAATCAACGTAGGTGGCCCTTTTTCGTACAACAACAGTAATAACAATAATAATGATAATAGTAAATGCAAAGGACTTCAGTTTATTGGCACACATTCTTGGTTCATACACCACCAACTACGTCAACCTATTCACATTCACCAGCTACCTCACTAATTTTAACCAAAATTATAAAATCACTTCTATCTTGCTTTCAAATTTTCAATTACATCCATTTGTATTGTAAAGGTATGTGCATTTTACAATATTTAAAAAACCTTAAATATTGTAAGTGTAGGAAGTGATTAATGTGGTAACGTGCACTTGACACGTCTACAAAAGAAAACAAAAAAATATATAAAAAAATGCGGTTGGGTTGGCTGCCACTATCCTTCACCCACATGTCTAAAGCTCCATAAATACAAGCGCTCATTAATAGCAAATGCTGGATGAAGCATTTTGGTTGGTGGTGACCCATTTGGATTCATTCCCCACAGTTACAAAAAATGGAATGTCTTCTATTATAGGAGAAGACATCTGAATTGGGCTCCCATTTTTGTGAACTAATCCCAATCAAATTGCAAATTCTCCTGTTTTTGCAGACTCCTCCAACTACAGCTACAACTATACGACCACAACGCCGCTGCTCGCATCATAATTGCCATACACTTTCAAAGTTTCTATTCCCCAGCAAAGTGTATCTCAGTTAGTGAGCCTCTCTCACGGTTTAAGCCATAACTTGCGTCACTCCAAATTCGCTTTGGATTATTCCAACTAAAGCCTTTACTTTAAAAAAAAAAAAAAATGAATAAAAAGGTGTGCAGATGATAATGCAGTACTCTTTTCAGAATGCTGGTCGCTAAGTATAATGTTGCGTCCTTCATAAAGTTTCCAGCTTTGGATCCCAATTTTTTCTTTGCTTCTCAGTGGATCAGGAAGAGTGCAATTTCAAAAAAGTCGGTTCACCCACTTCATAACAATGTTTTACTCAATTCCACAGGCTGGGTTCGTAAAAGAGCATATGACGCTTGCAATAAAAATATGGCCATTTCCAACTTTTGCTAATTGCGTATGATGACAAACAAAAAGTATGTGTGTATGGGTTACATTTGTGTTTATCTTATTTTTAATTGGTACAATGATCGCATTGCACTAACAACATGGTGTTCTGTACAAAGGAAGTAAAGAAGCGCGATGGTAGAACTGGGGAGCTTTCAAATCAAGTTTACTGCATTCAGAAGCGTGTATTGCTTTAGTAGCTTTAACTCTGTTCCCACAAAATAACCTTTCAGAGCATGCTTGCACATGCTTGCACATGCTTGTGTCTTTCCCTTGCTCACCGGCACAACACTCCTTTCTCCCAAAAAGTAGAGCACATGATTAATTTCGTTTCTGATTGAGCTCCAGCATTCATTGTGGTCTGAATCAAGTAGTTGAAGATAAATGTAGCCTCCTCATCCTCGAGGGATTGGATTCTGAATTGTAAAAGGAAAACCCCACCAGCTAGTGCTATCATATTTTTATTGTTGAAGAAGCCCATCGTGATCGCGTTGGAAATGGAAGCCACCAATAACAAAAGGGAAGAGCACCCATGGCGTAGTGGATGGGATAGTGGGAATAACAATCATGGCCGTACGGCCTCCCTCTGCTTTCATTTGGAATGCCATACAAGTAATTTGGCTCATAAACTATGATTACAACTTAAATGGCTAGCTTTTCATCCTCCAAAGTAGTAAGATTCATGGACGGGGACCCAGAGTAGGGCCAATCAGGGCTCGGGCATCAACCTTCCGGAAAGAAATGTGGGTGAAGTGAAAGGTCCTAATAACACGATAGAGTATCGATAGATTTGACCAAAGAAATGAAAATAGGACTTCGAGTGCTGTGGTTTGAGTAGAAATGTGATCATATCATATCCAAAAAATAGATTAAAGTAATAGAGGCGAGCAGACAGTCGCGGCTGGTCTATCAACATTTTCTAGATATCCAATCATTTGAATACTTTATGAACACGTTGGCGAACAGAGGTTTTTAAATAAGAAACGAGGTAATGATGATGAGTATGCATGACGTCAAAGAGACGCAATGCAATTAAATACTTCATATGATCTTCATTTTCCCCTTAATTCCATTCCACTGTATCAGTACGCTCTCTCTCTCTCTGGGCAGAGAACCACTGAATCACTGTGAATTTTATTTATGTTGAATACATTAGATGCTTTGACCTTTTACTTCCACTGCTTACCCCAGATGGAAGGGTACGTATGGATTATGAAAGATTCCACTGCTTTCCTTATTACCCATCTCTTTTCTGTGTGAAATGTACAATTTAGGATCCCAATTTGATCCTAAGATCTTATCACACAACATAAGACCTGCTGAAGCACATCATACAACACATACACAAACAAAGGCAACCTAAAACCGGAGACTGATATTTACTCGTGAAATCCTCACACATGAAGGGTAATCAATCATTCAAGCATTGGATTTGAGTTCAAAAGCAGTTCAGTTGGCATGAACCTTGACTAACAAAAAAACATAATTTAAAACCACGCAAGGCGCTACTCTTGTCATCATCTTATGATAGTTTCAACATCATAAAACTGTGTCACAGCCAATAAAATACTTGCCAAATGAAAAGTAAAAAAAGCCGGCTAAGCCTTCTTCCATCAACTGCAGCCATTACCCACCTGTTTGTAAATCCCAACAACGGTTCTAACAATAAGCTGCGTGGATGAAAATCAACTTTCGTACGACTGGCTTCCAGAATTCTATTTCCTAATAATGAACTCGGTGAGCATTTTCAGTACCCCAAAGGAAACTTGTAATTTTGTAGCTTGATTGTTTTATTTTATGGTCAGGTTGCAGCAGGAAAGTGAACGCGATCACAAAATTCACTCTTCCACCACATTCACGAGTTCATATTCAATGAGTGAAAGATTGTTCTCTTCCTTAACAGTAAAACTTGCAGGCTCAGTAACTTCAACACGGCCCCACCTGTCCACAGCAAGTCTCATTGATCCTTTGAACATGTCTATCTTAGCATTGCGCAGGATTATAGTGGCACCTTCTTTCATCAAGTCGACTACACAGAAGAAAGCAAAGAATTACGAGTAAATGAGTTACGGAAACTTCAATTCCATTTATTAAATGCCAAAAGAAATATTAGTTCAAGTCAATAAATTGAACAGTGGCTACATGGACATTCAAAATTAAGATAAAATATACATAAAGGGCTGGTTAATTAAACCAGATTAAATTTTAGGGGTCAGTTGGAATTTTTAAAAAAATGCAAGGCACAGTAAACTTATAAAATTGTCCTGAATGCTTGGAGTAAATTCTGGATGACCTATTTACTAATCTCGTGAACAAAGATAGGCTATAGGTCAAATCACGGAGGGCTATATTTTTACAATAAGAGTTTGCACTACAAAAAATTTAATCCTAGCTCGTTCCTGCACCACCTGTTAGTCAAATCATGAACCTACTTCGCATAAAATTCCATTCTTGTCCACCTTTTTAATCTGCCCATGCAGGAGGGATAGTTTTCATTGCAACTACACAATTACAAAGATATGGTGTTACTAACCAGTTTTCCATTCAACTATTCACTTACAAACGAAATAGTAAGTGAATAATTGAAACCAGTGTTAATTTATGTGTATTTGATAAACAACCTTACTTGAACAGGATCTATTCTATAGGTTGTACATTAGTGTCCTTGAGTTCTAAAAACTGCAATTGTCCAACATCAAACCAAACACAACAATAAAGTATGTCATACCTATTTCTCCTTCCTAACAAGAAACAGAAAAAGAAACTAGTTTGATAACTATTTCTTGCTTCCAATTTCTTTCTCTGTTATACCTCAAATTGAAATACAGAAAACATACAGCATGCAATAAAACATATAAAAATAATTATCAAAACTTTATATTATAATCAAGTCCCAATGCAAAATTGAAGCACAACAATAAAGTTGTATCTATCCTTCAACTGTTGTCCAAATTTGAATATCTCGCCATTCACCTTAAAACTTTGTAATATCATGTAAAAATAATATACTATATAGTAAAAAATGATAAGTAATGGCTAAATATACAAATAAAATTATTTTAATTAAAATGTAAAATTTGTAATATCTATTCAAATCCCAAATCAAATTTAAAGTTCAAAAATTAAAATGTTTGTCTTAATTAAAAAAAAATTTAAAAAAATTATTCTCTTCAAAAACTTTGCTAAAACTAAAAAAAAAGTTTTTAGATGCAAGAAAAAGGCAAATATGTTAACAAGTGAACACGTTCACTTCGCATTGGGAATTGGGATGTGCTTTAAGGCTGGAACAACCAAAATGAAAAGAGAAACATTAAAACAGAAACTTCTTTTTGGAATTCCCCAAATTCTTCATACTTTGAGGAAACATTTCTTTAGATTTGGAAACGAGAAACAAAATCATTTGTCAAAAATGCATGTTTCTAAAAAAAATAGTAATAGGAACGAGAAATGAGAAATGAGAAACAAAAACGTTATTAAATGGCCCTGGATTCCTGAGTGATGGTAGTTCCTCCAAAAACAAGAAGCCAAAATTAATGCTTCAAGTAGGTTCCAGTAACTAGATGACTTTTAATATTGATAACAATTAGTTCTCATTCTCTTACTCCCTCATACAATAAAACAGTCTACGATCTTTTGATCACTAAAGCATCTACACTTACTTTATATTACAAATAACATACAGTATTCTGAACTAACACTCAACAGAATGCATAATCAGATCCGAACACAAAAAAAAATGTAAATAGAAAAAAAGAAGCCACTGTAGAAACAACATTAACTACAGCTGATGGACCTTCCAGTACCAATCTCACTCATAAGATCAAAATCAAAATAATACACAGGGTTCATTCAAAATCTATTATTCTCAAGATTCAGCGTAGAGCTTATCCTTTCTAATGTATAGTTTTAACTTTATCCAACATCCGTCATGTAATTGAACTATTCAAGTCATTATCCAACTATGAGCCATTACACTGACCAATATATATAGCTGACAAAGTGATGAACTTATAATTTTTAAAAGGTACTTTTAGTATGGATGATTTATTTCAGTTGGATTTGCATTTCAACCTCCATATATCCCAGTATTCAGTAAAATCGAGTTTTTTTTCCAGTGAAAAAGAAAGATCCATGACAACTTTTAAGATAACAGAAAGCCTCCCTTTACGAAATCTTCACTAGCAGGAAGTTAATATATATCAAAACAACCTTTACCCTTCACAGTAATTGTGGATAGGGAGTGAGATCACACGATATAGAACAGTTATTAAAACTCTTCACAGCACCTCTTCAGTTGCATGTGGATTTAGAATGCAAGCATAAAGAAGAAAATTGGCATGCTTCATACAAGATAAAATTACGTAAATGGTGCAGGCTCAAATACTTTTGTAAGTTTACCTTGATCATTTCTGGCGGTAAATATGATCATTCCAGTTTCATCACCTACCAAGCATTCAGCAATTCGCATCTGACGGGCTTGAGGACCATCAGGACGACCCTTCTGCAATACCATCTTAGTATTCACAACCTTAACAGTAAGAGTATGCCCACTAGTGCCTGGCCGAAGTTGATCAACCTTGGTAAATACTGGTTTCCTCAGTCCAGGTTTGGATTCTGCCATTTCCCCGAATACCTAATCATGCCAATATACAAACAGTAACAAAACAGTTAGACAATAGATTGACATTGTGAATTTTTACAAAATGCCCACACAACCAGTAAACCACCAAGGTGGACAAAGGCTGGGATTGATAAAATAACCATGAAAAAATGATAAATAAATAAATTTCTCATTCAAAGAAACACAATAATTGCCTTAACCTATCACATTGACCACCAGGATAGTATAAATCTCAGTTACGGTGCCTAGGAACCCACTCTCTCCAACCCTGTATGACTACTAGGTCAACCAAAAGCAAAATGTAAAATATGTTGACATTAAATTTTAACCAAAAGCAAATTGTCCACTTTGGCCCATTACTCATCACCGTCAACTTTTAAAACACATCTACTAGGGAGAGGTTTCCACACTCTTACAAGAAATGCTTCGTTCCACTCTCCAACCGGAATCTCACAATCCACCCTCCTTGGGGTCCTAGCGTTCTTGTTGGCACACCACCCAGTGTCTGGCTCTGATACCATTGGTAATAGCCAAAGTCTATCGTTACGTATCGCCGCCAACTTCACGGTTTTAAAACGCATCTACTAGGAAGATGTTTCCACACCCTGGTAAGGAATGTTTCATTCCCCTCTCCAACCGATATGGGATCTCACAGATGGTTGCTCCATTATGCAATCTTCCACTTTATGTCTCAAAAATTGAAGATAATATAGCAACTCTGTCAGATTTAAATCAAATGAACCAGAGTCAAGAAGATAAACAAGTGTTAATAACTAGAATTTCCAACCAGAACACTACTGTTTTCACGCTCAACCACATTTGGTGCATAGATTCCTCGAATAACATCTTGTTTGTTCTCTTAATTTATCGTCAATATCATTTTCTTGGTTAACTTCAAATCTTCTAAACCCTCGTCCCACCAACAAATAGACCTCAAGCAGGCACTCCAATTACGACACCATTAATCGCTTGAGAGCATTTAAGCTATTAATCGCTTAAACACAAATACTAATATTACATCCAAGGATATACATAATTGTTCAGAACTTTTCTTTTCGAAAACTTTCCGTGAATCAAATGAAAGATAATGAAACTACTGTGGCCAAATGTGGGACTAGAAGAAAAACGAAAATCAGCTATAAATCAACAAACTTAATGTTCAGAGAGTGTTTCTCGTCACAATCTCCATATAAAATTTCACACTTGAATGACCCAAATGGGAACCATAAAGAGGCCATGCAAACCGAACAGGTAGCAGAAAATCGCAACCTAAACGCCAATAAAAGTTAAGAAATGAAGAGAAGTGTAAAACAGAGAAAGGATAGGCATAGGAATAACCGGAACTGAAATTTTAGGGTTTAGAGATCACCTTTTACGAGTGGCAGAGGCAAAGACGAAGGCAGAGAAAGGAAGCCGATCTGATTTGAGAAACGTAGCCGTCAAACTCTAGCTTCGAGGAAAGATATAAAGTTGCTATGAAATAACAACCGTCGATGATTGTTCGCCAGAAGACTTTAATCGTAATCGACCACGTGTCTAACCCTACAAATTTAACCTTCTCACCCGGGGGTTTCAGAAAATAAAATTAGGAAAACTTTTTTTTTTTTTTTTTCGCCCTCGATATTGGATAAGAATTAAGATAAGGCGCATCAAATTTTCTTGAATTTATCGATAAATAATTAGAGATTTTAATCGGTCATATATGAATTATTAGGTGAAAAATATATATATATATATTTTTCCTCTATTGTATCCATTAATATGGTTTTAAAATCCAATATAAAAACATTCTAAAATATTTGTATGGCAAGATAACAAGTATTTTAAAGTATGTGTATGTATATATTGTGGAGGATTATTGGGAGCGAATCACACATTAATTTAAGTTTAAGGAATGATTGTGTTTACAAGTGAGGAATACTATCTGGTACGAGATATTTGGGAGAATCCCACTTATGCTCATGGTAAAATCATACAAACGTGAGAGTCGTGTTCCGTGTTGCGTGTTCCTGCATATATATAGTTCTTTCTTTTTTTTTTCCTTCTACATAGATGGAAGAAGAAATAAGATTCTGAAGACCCACGAGGATGGTTTTCACACTCACAAAGATCCAGAAGATGGCAGCCCCATTTACGAGCTCTGCTCGATGTCTACGAAACTTCCAACTTGAAATTTGGAATCAGCAGCAATGAAATTCTTGAATGCATTGATGGAGATGGTAAATAATATGAATTCTATTTCTGCAGATTACTGAAACAAATTTGAGAATTGGAGTATCAATTTGCTCATATTAAATATTGAAATTCGTGGCTGTGTTTTGAACCCAAGGCCGGGAGGTGTTATGGAGACTACTTGTAATATATACATGAAATTGTTGAAGTTATAGTTCATAGTTACAAACAAAAGAATTCATCTTCTCTCGCATCGCATTGCATTGCTAATGCCAAAATTCTTGATTGGGGCAGAAATATTTACAAGAAAATAGAAAGAGGGGAAGAAGAACAAAAGAAATTGCAGAAGAATATTGATTCAGTAAGGATGAACATTTTTGCTGAATCCATTGACGCTGGTGAAGAAGCCAAGCAAATCCTGGCGGTAGGGAAGATAGGACCTGCGTTTGTCGACTTGCTTCTGGGCTCTGCTTCTAACGTAGTGTATCTCGTGGGCAGAGGATGCTGTTTGGGCTTTGAGGCGGTTGAGCTTTGGAGCGGAAGTGGAGGTGGAGGTGGAGGTTCTGGAATCCGATTGAGGTTGAGGTTGAGGTTGTAGCTTGTTTTGGGGGGACTTTGGGGTGGTGGGATTGGGATTGCTCAAGAAAACGAAGGCGTCCTTGCCATCGCTGCTGCTCCGGCGCATCGTCATAAATTCCCGGAATCTCCAGAGCTTGGAGAAGCCTGTGGAGTTGCTCTTCTTGCCGAGCTCCGCCGTCGTCGGAGACCACTCACAGTAGGTGCCTTCAACAACTCCCTCCAGCTCCGTATCCGACTCAAATTGCTTTTCCACGAACAACTTCCTCAAGGGCGGGCGAAGCAATGGAGGGTTATCGGGTGTTTCGGGATCCTGCCCGTCCACGAACAGGAGGCTTCTGTCGAAGAGTGGGTAGACGGGGCGGATCTGGCCGTTAAAGAAGGCATCGTCGGCGTTAATTGGGGAATCATTTGGGTTGGCGCACACAAAGGAGAACTCTTCGTCTTGTTCCTCATAGGCATCGTGTAGCTGTAATCTGTCGTGGAAAGCCAAGGATTCGAGGTCCGGTTTGGTGGAATTAGCAGAGACGCGGGGGTTGTTCATGTTCGCGCTAGAATCTTCAGAGACACGACCTTTCATCTCCTCCTGTGGTGAATGGAAAACGGAATTGGCAATTGCTTGTGAATCTGGCGGAAACTGTAACCGCGTGAGGTGGTTCGAGTTTGGAGTATAGGTGGGTGAGAAATGGTTTGCGGCATATTTAATAAGGTGGTTACTTGGTGGAGACGATTACGAAGTTTCCAATTTCGAGGCGAAAAGTACTTCTGTTGACCTTCATTTTTGTTCATCTACTATTCGTGAAATCCGGAAGCAACCCACTTCCCGTTTACTATTCACTTTCACATTTTCTTGTTTGGGGGCGGTTGATGAATAAGATTCTGCTTCTTTTGTCACACGTGAAATGTCACACGCGCCAAACAAGCTGTCTAGAAGGGAAACGATTTGGTGACCTGGCGAGGAGCCTCACTTGGCTGACAAGCATACATTCTTGATCAGCAAGTCAAACCCAAAGGATGAAACATGAGGTCAATGATTGAGGTGTGATCAATCCTCACCGATGACGATAAGGAAATAGATGCTCTGTCTAATTGTCTTTGTCTGTGACCTTTTGCTTTATTAAATAGTTTTGCCTGTGACTTGCATATTAAGGATTTTGAACATGTCTTTTTTTTTTTTTTTAAGCTTTAGTTCTTCTTTACAAGTTATTGATCCTATCTTAACTGCTACAATTTATCTTAATTAAAGCTCATCGAGTTGATGTTCAATGATCACAACAAAGCTCATTAAATTCATTTTACTCCATTTATTTGATAGGAATTCAATGAGATATTCTAAATTCAATATACCTGATTTTTCTTTCTAAAAAATTATAAATATTGAACAAACAAATGGGATAATCTATCATTTTTAAAAAATTTCTTTTTATCATTACTTCTTAAATTCAAAAGCTGAAATTTTGATGTAAGTTGACATTTGATGTTTGAAAAAACAGAAAGTTGACATTTGACTTTTTTTAATATATTTCACCACTTATTACTTTTGGTAATTAGTACATACTGAAAACATTATTAAATTCTCCCAGCCAAATTTCAAATGGTGCAGTTATAATTTGGTCTCTATGACCCTTAAAAGTTATAAATGTTAGAAAATCATAAAAATCAGGTTTGTAACTTGACAAAAAAAAAAAAAAAATATATATATATATATATATTTATAACCAAAGGTTAATTGTGGCTCAATCATAAGGAAAATTGTTACGTCCAGTGTTTAATAAAGATTAATAATAATAATAAAAAAAAAAGTTTGCTATGCCATTGTCGGCGATAGAAAAAATAATCATAATATCTCCTTTTTTGGGGATTATGTTAATGTTGTTATGAATTGTGATATTTATTTTGATTTTATAGCAGAGACGGAGGAAAAATGTAAGCGAAACAGTAGGGTGGTATAATTAATCTAGTGGGGAACATTTATATAGAAAATAAGGATTTCGAATAACAAAAGAAAGAAACAAAATGAAGTTGATAATTGATATTATAAGGGATGATTGGAAGTGAATTAGACAATTAACCCGCCCTGAATGTTATACTATTCTCCCAAAATGTTCAATTTGATCTATTACGCGGCTCCACTGCCCCTGTGATTTGAAGGGCTGGAACTACGCCACTTGCATCACCTCCTTTCTCCTCTGCTTTTTAATTACAGCAATTAACAGCTCGTCTCCAGCAATGTGCCTCACTTTGTTGATCAGTTGTGGGCGCGGAATCTTGTTTCTCTGCATCCCATTCCCAACTCATTATTTACAACCAATTCATCCATTTAGTTATTAATAAATTAAACAAATAAGAATATGTGCGTCACTTACAATAAAATCCTCGTGCCATTTGTGTATCAAACTCATCTTCCTAGGATCCAAGAACCTCGAAAGTGTAAGCATCAGCGTAGGAAAACTCACCCATGCGGACCTTGGCTTCACCATATTTACCGACTTCATATTCATTTGGGCACCTGCAAAACGCTCAAACCATACTTGTATCAATACCGAGATGCTCTATATATTGCCGGGAAAAAAAAAAAAAAAAGTAAGAAGAAGAAGAAATTCCTACCCTTTGGCTGAGGGGTCTTGAAGCTTACTACGTAAGTGGGCTGTATGTGAGAATTCATGAAAGCATCCCAAACGATGTATTTTCTGGGTGCGAACAAGCTGTCTACGCCCGTATCGAAAGCGCTGGAACTTGGATAAAATTGCTTAGATCCTGCGGGAATAGCTTCCACTTTCCCCAATATTACTCTGCATAATAACGCGTGCTGTAGTCCATTTTGGTCGACGGCCGAAGACGAGACACTGCAAACAATTAAAAGCTACCAAATGAGCAACTCTTGTATCTCTATTCTAATTTCTAAGAAACGGCCGTTGGAGGATCGTTTTGGCGGCAGGGCACATAATAATAATAATAGGAAGAAGAAGAAGAAAGATGATGAGAGATGGCGAGGAAAACAGTTACCAGTCAATCGAAAATCTAGCAGCACACAAAGAGACGCCCACACCGTGCAATGATTCAGAGCGCATATCTTTATGATTGAAACGACTGAAACCGTGAGACACGATCTGGCAGATGTCATCCACTGGAGCACCGTACCAACCAAACTTGATATTAGCATCTCCTCCGCATTTGGTGGCCACCGCATCCGAGAATATTCTAAAAGCTTCCTCCCTCGCCACTTTCCCCGAATCCGAACTCCAATTCTTATGAACCGCCACAACTTGTGCATCCCTCCCTATGCTACCAAGACCCGAAACGAAGCACTTCGCCACAGTTTCGTGCTCCAGCCCCTTCTCTTCGAGCCTCCTCATTCCGCTCCCTTGGAGAAGCCTAAATCGGTTTGAACTCAACGAATCGTATTCGTCGCCATGATTCCCAGAGCCTAACCTCTCGTAATCTTCAATGGTTGTGAAGATTCCCTCTTCAACAATGGACTGTTCCATCTTACGATCTTATCTTTCAGAGGAACAACAGAACAGGCCCTCAAAGCTTAGCTAAATAGAAGAATAATGACCCTCCAAACACATAAATATAGGTCAAAAGAAGAGAGAGGTAAATAAAAATCAACATAGGCAGGGGGATTGGGGCGCAAGGAAAAGCCATTTACTTGCACAAAAAGAAGAAAATGAATAAAAGTAGGAAAGAATATATATTATATATAATATATTTATTTCCGTCATTACACACGGGATGCTTGTAC